TCTCATATCCGCCTCAGTGGCTAAAATTCTTAAATAAATAAAACAATCGTACACTTAAACTCCAACGACAACAGTGACGCGTTTAACAATAACATCCATAAAAAAAAATAAAAGTAGTTCTAAAGAAAACAAAATCGCTCCTCGGGTCCACACCTAGCAATAAAATAAATCCCAACGCTACTCGTACCAAACGACCCTTCCCTCTATCCTCACTAACTCGACTAGTGATCCCTCCTCCGTCAAGCCCCCTCCACGTCATCACCATGGTCAACCCTGTTCACACCTGAAAACAAATAAGGATAAAAGGGGGGGTGAGTACATAAGGTACTCCGTAAGTAGCCCTTCCTAACTAACACAAAAATCATGCTCACAGTCACGGCATATAAAATAAAACGATAGCAAGACAATTAAATAGACAGCGAGAGATAAAAAAACAATAACTTGACATTTACATACAACAGCCATGCGTCGGAACTACCAAGACTACAACCATATGATTCACTAGCCCTTGTCCCACAGTACTAAACCTCCCTCTACAACCCCCTTTGATACTCCCCGTTTAATTTCTCGAGGCATGACGGCTCTTGACATTTATTCCCAAGATACTGCCCCCCCTCCTTTTACAGTACTTGATGTTCGACCTTGCCATTAATTCCCAAGGCCTAGCACCACTACTTCGCAAGCACCACTCTACTTTAGTCCTTCAAGCCTAACTCCTCGAGTCGCATTGGCCCTTGACATTTATCCCCAAGGCCTCAATAGTCCTCTACAGAAACTTGATGTTCGGCATTGCCATTTATTCCCAAGGCCTGAACTGTGCACCGGTCCTTGCCGTTTATCCCCAAGGTACCGATGACTTCCCAGCGTATTGGTCCTTGACATTTATCCCCAAGACCCCAATATTCATTTACAGAAATTTGACGTTCGGCCTTGTCATTTATTCCCAAGGCAACTACTCAAGGCTTTGAACCCCCAAGCGATTTATATGCATTTTCAGATCAGACCACCCATAGTTTAACGAACTGCCAACCCGTCCCTTAACCCTTCACCCTTCACCACTCCCACTATCCCTCCCAAGACCACCTACAAGTATATTTCCCACATTCCAATTCACTACACAGTTCACAAGCATGCTTTTCTTTGTAATAAACAAGTCACCACCCAACAGCTCACAACTAAAACAATAATAACTAATTATCAGTTTAACAACGCGAGCATTTCGTTTACAACATGTTTGCAAAACGTCATGAGCCAGTTACTTTTAACCACAACAATTCAGAATCTACTAGTCACCTCCAACAATAAGAATAGAAAGCATGTTTCCTCATAAGTGTTCAATAATAGAAAGACGGCAACAAAATCACTAGAAGTTCACAAATCAAAACTAACAATCCCTACATGCACAATTAAATTATTTTAACTAAAAATCAGCATCCCGTTAACGCTAAATAACGCACGCACTCGCCCCCTGGTGCTACTTACTCAACCACGTCCTTAAGTTTGCGTCGAACTCACACCTAAGCACAAAAATGGAAAAAAATACAGCAATATAAATATACTGTTCAACCTTCGAAAACAACTCTAAGAGGGTTCAAAGGGTCTCATTACCGCAAAACGACTTCGTGTAGGTGTGGGTAAATTAGATCTAGCTTGCAAAGGGGTGGGTAGCGTAAATCGGGCTTCGAACGGATGAAGATAATCGCCG